GTCCCAGTTCGGCGGCAGTCCTGAAAGGCTTTGAGACTATGTGCTGCAAAATGAGGTCAAACGAATTATCATCCCAACGTTTTAACAGTTTGTGAGATTTTTTCAAAGTTTCTCAAAAGGGACCTTGCAATACTAGCTTGCCTGGAAAGTTTTGCACGTTTTGTGGCAGCAAAGTTACACATATATCTGTCAGAAGAAGGACTTTGATGTATCATCAAATCTAAATTAGTCGAATGTAAATCTTACTCTTGCAAATAATGCGTTGTCTGTTTCCAAGTTTGCTTTTTCGACAGAATTTTAGGACATGAAACTACACACAAAATAAATCGAATTTGAGCAACGAGAAAAAGATGCTATAATTTCATTGCATTTGGCTCTTCAGTTGCTTACGAGTGTATTGTAATAGAGTGGTTCAAAAAATGTAGCAGCGAGCTAAAGCTTTGAAGTACTTCTGCATGCTTTGATAATGACTGTCGCACAGGTGATGACTGTATCATATGTTTAAGGAAATGGTATTGAGATACAAAAGGTTTGGCGACTTTGTACATAGCGTATTGTTTTGAAATCGGACTGATTCACTTTTTCATGATCGATTGCGTGACTGCAAAATTAGAATAGCGGATGACCCTGTAGGAAATGGATAAGGTGGGCTTCAGAACTCTTCCTTTTCATCGCATTAGTCAGGCGTCACTCCAATCACCATTATCTCAAAACATCTCCGTATCTTTCTGCACAATTGATTCAGAAACTTAACCCATGCGAGAATAGAGTCCAAAAATTTTACCTCCAAAACTTTAACATCTCAAGCTGATGGCCATGTGGAAATGCGTTTTGTTTGCAAAACTTTGCAGATTTTTATGGTTCCTAGATCAATGGAAAACCTTTGTTTTGAGCTAAGACATGTGTAAATTTAGACTACGAATCAAAACTTGTAAAAATTAATGGACAACATTCCTCTTTCTTCATGTAACTCAGGTTTGTTTGGTTTTATAGTGCTATACCAATGCTCCTCTTATTGAAGAGATAGTACCCGAAAAAAATGACGTTTAAATTTCATCATTTTGTAGTCGAATTTCGGATGTGGAACCGATATAATTGCCTTGGTAAAAAATATGCTACTTATACAAATAATTCTTTGATAAGTGTTAGAGAACACAAGGAATCTCTCTCCTCAAAATTTGATTGATGCACTACA